TCAAACATCAACACTGATATCAACAAGGTTTCTTTGTAAGAGGGAAAGTAGGGATGTGCTTTACTTCCTTGTTCAAGACAACGTGAGCGGGTTACGTGCCTTTAATAAACTTAATATATAACCAGTGAAAACCTGAGAGAAAGACTGGAGGACAACAGCCCTGAAGTCTGACCAGAGCCACAATAGATCGATTTATACAGAAGTATGACTTGAGTTAAAACGATTCACAAACATGAATGCAAAAGCCTTCTAGATATTTATCTACAAAACTTTTCGAAACCCATATGACAGTTTCCTTCTACTTCAGTTGTCTGACACTTTTTATGTTGGTGTATGGTTGCAAAGAGAGAAGTGAAATACTTTAGCAAGGTTTATTGCTCTGCTTTCTCTTAAACTTTCTTCAGAAATCGAATTATTAAGAAGTTTAATATGATACCATTAAACATTCACTCAACTCATTCTTACAAATAACTTAGTGATTTATTAATATTTACTTTAATCTGCTTCACTGCTGCAAGTCCAAGAAATAACGCTGAAATTAATAAGAGTCTTGTGAGATGAAAACCAGGAACGTGTTTTTATTCACAGCATCCATAAAAACACCTTGTACGTGCCTTTAATAAACTTAATACATAACCAGGGATTGTGTGGTAAAGATCAGATGCAGTCAACTCCCAAGTGAACAATCAAAACATGCAGCATAATAAAGACAGAGCTCCTTTTGCAACACTGCATACTCCCAAAATTAAAGAGATAGCTGCTGATTTTATGTCTGAAAAAAATCTCATCTAATGCTTCCTTCCTTTACATACAACATATTGTATTTAAATTCACTCAGTGCCCTTGTGTGATAATGCAATAGGTCTTAAATTTCTAAAAAATCAAATGAAATCATCTAAAATGTTAAATTTGACCACTGGCTTTTGCTCATTTCTCAGTTAGGTTTATATCAAAACTGTGTTGCTGCAATCAAAAGTTTCAAGCTGTCGACCGCAGGTGTAAAATATGCAGACACTAATTAAATAGTTCTGGATTACAATGGTCCACTTGATGAACTAAATCTATTTCCTCTTTCACCCAGTAGAGCTGAGCTCCATCTGTAATACTACACTTTAAAAATTTGCACATTAATTGTGATAGATGCCATTTTACTTTAAACAGTAAAATTATTCAAATTATTCTAGCAGTAAGACGTTGCTGAATTCCAGTTTTCAACTAAATTAGCTCTAACAAAACTAATGCACAAATTCATTTACTTAAGCTGCTATTGGTGAAGTATAAAAATTTGTATTTATTTTTTTTTACATATTTGTTAAATCTGCCATATGTCCTGTTAGCATAATATAAGACAGATAACAAACAGAGGAACAATCTTGAGGAACAATCTTGTTCCTCTGTTGCTCCTTGTGGACCTGCTGCTATCTGCAGCAGTTCACCGCCCCCCGTCACTTACAACCAATCAGAGCCAGGAGGAGGGTCTTAGTGCTGTCAAACAACTCAGGTACGTACTGCTCTCTACTATGCCACAGACTACTCAAAATGGCCTCAGATGACGGCGGATAAACAGTTTTGCTAGAAGTTTTTTCTGCAGTTAGCACAGCTGCAGCATACCAGGAATCTTGAGCTTATACACTCACATGTATAACAAAGACAAGCGACCTTCTTTAAATAAGACGAAGGACAAATATAATTTATTATTGAAGCTATTGGAGCATAATTTAAAATGTGCACTTCCAAATTATAAAGACTGAAAAGTAAAGAAAAAATACTTCTCAAACACACAAAAAACACTTTTAGGCCATGTCACTCTAAAAGGGAAATCCACCACCATAAATGGATAACGCATCGTCCTCTTGAACAACAAGCTGTGACTGTCCACTGACAGCTACTATTGTGAAGATAAATCTCAAAAAGGCCTTTTCTAATTTTAACATGCTGAATTTTCTGCATTTAAGAAAGTTTTACAGAAAACACTTTTTTTAAAATAAAAGTTGTTAAATTGAGGCATGTATTTCAGAATGCATTAGTCTCGTCTTCTTTTGAGACATTTGTAACATCTTTTCCTGTCAAACTTCAAGGATGTATACCATCGTATTTTTAGTTATTCACCTAGATGTTTGTTCTCATGAAAAATATTTAAAATTGTAGAAATTTTGTCATACATGGACTGATGAGGATGCCTCAGGTTGTTCTCAGTAAACTATGAGTTACACAAAACAAGTGTGACAAGACTCATTTCAGTGCCTAGTGGTAAAAATAAAATGCAAAGCACAAACAACAAGGAAACAGGATATCAGAGGATTCAGTGGCACTGACAAACACCACCATATGTCCCTTGGCTAAATAATTCAAACAGAAGCACAGTGTGGTACAATGTGCATCAATCAGATTAGTCTGTCCTGGTTCTGATAGCAACATGTGGTTGGGTCAGTCTATTGGGTGTTACAAGGACATACCCCTTCAATCTCACTAAATCCTCACGATAAGCCAATTTCCTTAGTGGACAATTTTCCACAAAAATAAGTGAATCTTGGTCACTTATTTTCCTGAACGCCTCATTTAACCAACTGTGAAAAGAAGGGTCAGGCCACTGAGAATGGTCTTAAAAGTTATGGATTAATTACAATATGCAGGTAAAAACAACAAATGAGTTGCTGTATTTGTACATTTCCCTCTGTATAAATCAAGCCCCTTTATTTTGAAGAAGAGAGTCTTTTACAAAAACAGCTTTAACACAATAGACATCGGATTGCTAAAATGTACATTAAGAGCACCTGACCTTTTGCCACACATCCATTCATCACCCTACAAAGTCTAGAATGAATCTAAAAATAAACCATCTCAGGGTGGCTACAGCAGTCATCATGCCAGCCCTGTCATCATGATGTCAGATCAGCCATCGGGATCCGCAGTCTGCTCGCCTTTAGCGTAAACTGCTTAGAGCGGCAAGGAACAGAAGGGTAATTGGCTTGATGGCATTTGACATCAATGACTTCAAAATGAAGCACTTATCCTGGAGGTGTGCGATCGGAAAAAAGCCTAAAACGAAACGTGGGAGTTTGTTTTTTATTTCAAACTATATAATTAAGAAATGTGAGGGAAGCTCGTTTTAGTAAGCAGTTTTAGAGCAAATCTTTCTAAAAAGAAAAAAAACAATTATTAAAATCCATTTTGTCATATGGGATGTTCATTAATGTATGTTATTCAATGATGCAACATGATAAACTTAAATTAAGTTATTATTTGGTGCCAGCTGAAGATGCTGATCAAATATTTGTGATCTGTATGTTGATGCTGAGCTTCATTCTTTGGTTAGTTAATTATTAGTTTAAATTAACTAAGCCACAGTGTATAGTTTTTAAGCAAACATTGTGTATAAGTTCACTAAGTAGGAGCTTCATTTAAGGTCAGACTTTGACTAGGTCATTCCAAAATCTTTCACTGTGTTTGTCCTGCTGTATAACGCAGCCCTGCTGAAGATTGAACCAGACCTTGTGCAAAAGTTTATAGTGAATTAAATAGGAGTGGTTTAACCAGCTTTGCAGTAAAATGCTTTGAGAGAAAATATGATCTGAAAATAAAAATATCTGAATGTTTGATATTAGATTTTAAAAGGATATTGTTTTATTCATCCTGAGACCTCATCTGCCTCACACCACACAACATGTAGAAAACAAGCAGTACTCACAGAAATATTTGAAGGTCTCTTCGATCTGTTCATAAGTGAGTCCCAGTACGACCTCTGGTGGTACCAGAGGGGTGTGCAGCCAGTCGTCACTGTCATATCCGAACACGGTGTCTGCTCTGAGGGTGTACTTGGGCTGACCTTCTGACAGCAGACTCACTATCTCCAGCTCCGGCAGGTTTGAGCAAAGGTCTGAGCACCGAGGGTTTGGGGATTCATGAATGTGCAGGTTCAGGAATGAGGGGAGAAGAAAAAGAAAGCAACATTAAAATTAACAACAGCATTGATGTGTCAGCGATGCAGCTGCACTGCCCTCTAATGGTTAACGTTTAGAAAATGCGTATTGTTTTGTTTATCACTTTATTTCAGTATTATCAGCAGAAAAGGGTGAAAGATTAGCAATGAATCAGTGTCAACATTAAAAATGGCCTTACATGTAAAGTTAATGTTACCTTACCGGAGAAATAAAGTTTGAATACATCATTTAAACAGGATTGATGGACTGGAGAAAAATTCAGAACATTCAAGAGTATACAATAAGCCCTAGGATTTTCTTTTAAAAGTGTAACCAACCCCAGATCAACTTCTTTTTTTGCTGATAAACTATCTAAATAAGTTATTTAGAGAACTTACATCTTTGTGTAAGTTTGTTTAGTCCAACATCATTTTGCATAAAAACCAACCTAAAGAGAGCTGGCCTCCAGACCACAGTCTAAACAGTTAAATTTTCCTACTAGTTTTAAACTGCCCAACATTCTGGTAAAAAATAATCTCACTCTCACTCAGATTATGAGGATGATTATATCCACGAGTTACTTCTCATGAAAGACAGTGGACTTACAGTAAAACCAGAAAAACACAACAATGAATGAAGTCAGGAAAGTGTTGATAAACTTCAAGAACTAAGAATGAATTAATATCAGTGATGTTTTTGTTCATCTCCAAAATGTCAGAGTGAACTGAAAAAGCTACGAAGGATTACGCTGTAAATATTGACTTTTGGCATAAATTTGACATATATTCACCAATTGTAGCCTTTAAATGTGCTAATTTCTTCTTTGGTATCCCGTAAAGACAAGACATACAAATGTTTGGCCATTACTGCCTTTTAAAATAAAACGGTGTACCTGTTATAGTGGACGCATCGTGGTGGGACTGCTGCGCCGAGTCACAGACGTTCCTGGGTGTAGAATGCTGCAGAGGCTGAGGGTCACCATCCAGGGTGCCCGCTGCCTCCCTCTGCCCCTCATTGGGGTAGAGGGCTAACTGGGAGTCCAGATGGGTCTGTGGATGCCAGGAGGGAGGAGAAAGACGAGCCGGAGGAGGTGATGAAGGAGAGGACAAAGGGTGGGACAGCTTGCCTCGGGGTAGAGGGTTCAGGGTGAACAGGAGCTTTAAGCTGGGCGCCCTTTTAGTGGCTTAGGGGCCAAACAGAGAAGTGAAGGTCATTGGAGCCTCTGTGAACCTGCAGGTGAAGCCTAAGCAGGAAAGTACCAGAGAAGGAAGAGACAAAACAAAGACGAGTGAGTAGAACAATGCATGAATGTAGATACTTTTGAAAATAACTTTCTAGTTTCAATTTTGCATAACGTCGAACAAAAAGAAGAAAAAAAAAAATCAAATACTTGTTAAAGATGAAGACCCAAGACACCCTATTACAGAAAATAGACCACTGGGAGAAGCATATATTGTCTTTTATTTGCTTTCAATTTAATAAACTCACTGAAGGAGAAAAAGCAAAGTATGAAACACGTCTGCGTCACAACAGTTGAGTTGATAAATAGCTTTTTTCTCCTTTCTTATAGCTCATTATATCATTTGATATTTAAATAATTAAACAGCATTAGCAATGATTACATTAAAAAATGTTCCACAAATGCTTGAAGTTGCACATATCACAGTTTTAAACAGTATTATGTATTTTTTTCTCTTGGGTTAGCCTCGATTATTAGTATATTTTATTTTACAAGCCAACAAATTGAAATGCACGGACAGGTTTTACTAAAAGTTGAATTACAGTACAGTGCAGTCTCTGATTCATCTGGAGAGAAATTACTGTATTTTAGTTCTGATACAATTCTGGATAACTGAATATAACTTGCTCTTTATTTCTGTTATTTTTTCTATGATATTTCTCATGAGATATGAACTGTAACCAACTATAACTTCAACTTGCACCAGGCATTAGAAGCACGTTCTCGTGATTCTGATCCAAGCCACTCCAGATATTTATGTAACTTTTATTAATATGAGGCATCGTTTTAATAATAAAACAAGTGTTTTCACTTTGACTGAATACAAAATGTGTGTTTTTACTCCAATGTTTCCTTAAAGTATTCTTTATGTTAAAGGTCTGAGTTTTAGGGTCACAAAGATAGAGTTACAACAGCCTGGAGCCACAGAGATCGGGTTCTTCAGCAGAACATTTCACCACTATAAACACAATGCAAAGCCAGAGGAACAATCTGCTGTATGAATTATACACAAAACATTTGTTGCCTGGAGCCATTGTTACAAGAGTCAAGATCTCCTCTGAGGGTCCAAAACTGAAGCTAAAGCATTTGGAAACAAGGATTCTAAGAGATTAATCAGATTTTTTTGTTGTTTTTTTTTTATGAAGGCTTTGCAAATGTTTTTGTTGGGTTTTTTTTCTAAACCGTGGTGTTTTCACTCAAATTTTTTCTCCCACCAGCGCATTGAGAAACTAAGCCCACCTTTCAGACCTCTCTGTTCTCACCCAGTTTAAACAGCTGAGCCCTCAAGAGAGTTTTATTATTAAAATGATGCCTCATATTTACCAAAGTTACATAAAGCCTTGAAGCTTTGTCCAGGCTGGTAACAAAAGGACACTTGATAGCTCGACCCAGTTATTGCAGTCGATAAAACATGCTGACCAGAGGGTAGAGGCCTAATTACAGCTGCTGCCGCAGGGCTATCAGGGTGCATACGGACACATGCATTGGCACATGACAACTGAAATACAGCAATCATGATTCATTAACTGCATTTAATTCCCCACTATCTCTACATATCAGTATCAGTCGTGTGGAGGCTCTTTTTGCTTCGTCACTCCTGGCCTCCGTCTTAAATGCTTTCAATCAGCTGAGTGTTCCTGCTTGTGGCCAACACGTCCCCATTAATCCTGTCTCCCCCAAGCGAGGTCTGACAACTGACACCACACAGATTTAGCCTCTTACGTCAGTCTGATCTTTCTGTATGAAGTCTGAAATGACAGTGGGTGAATAATTTCCAAATTCATATCATGCGATTAACCTCAAAAGTTCAAAAGTGGAAAATGCCAAATCCTTTGAAGTCAGCAGCACAAAGTCAGATTTGATTTAGTGGTTGGTAACCATTGAGGATGATTCAATAAAAATGCAGCCAAATGAGAAGTTAAACTATCCCTTAAGGGTGAGAAGAAGGGAAACGTTACAGAAACAAAAAATCTTACCAAGTATTTTTGGTCTAGTTTCTAGATCAAGTACCTTAATGCACCTGAAATATGACAAAACTAACAGCTGAAAAGTTACTTGTAAGTTAATACACTTGAAATAAGACAAAACTAAGATATTTATACTAGAAACAAGACAAAAAATACACAAAATTTTATGTGTTTGAGATATATATGTTTTTAGACATTTAGCAATTCTTTGCCATCCTGCTTTTTTTAAAAAAAAAGTAATTGGAGTAATAATCTAGGATGTTTCTCCAGCAGAAAATAAAAGAGCTCAAGAGAAGATTAGTGCAGCAACCTCAAAAAGTGGAAACTTAAAATGCCAACAGGAAATTTCAAAAGCATATCCCACAACAAGGCTTTAATTTTGTTACATAATGAATCAGTTTTAGGATGGAGTGGTTCATGGAGCTGGTCTGAAGTCATATCAGAGCTGAACCTGTAAAACACAAGCAGCAAAGCCTGCCGCTGACCTTGGAGAGTGGACCGGAGCAGCGGCGTTGCAGAGCTCTGCACTGGTTCTCTGAGCAAACAATGCCCTTCGAGGAGGGTGTGTACGTGAGACAAGGCACATAGAGGCGCAACCATGGGGGGAGGGAGGCCAGGACACATGCATTCAAGGACTGTCAGGACTATTAAGGACTTTTTAATTCACCATTCTCACTGGAAATTTACAAAGTCTACATGCTAAGAAATCAATTTACTTCAACCTCTTAAGAGACAGAAAAAGGTGATTCATCTTTAAATTAAATCAAAATTATCTTCAATTTGTGGAAAATTGAGATGGTTTATGCTAATCTTCAGAGTACTAAAAACAATAAATGTTAATTTTATTACTGTACTTCAGCATTTAACTTCATTTAAATAAGTAAATTAGCAAACTCATTTGTGACAGCTACTCTACAGCTGATAACCTTTGAACATGTTCACACTCTCTTGATCTTCCCTTGACTACTGTGGACATGTTACTCCAGTGAGTCAAACCTTGCAGCCCAGTGTCCTGGACAAGTCTTCCTTTAAGTTGATAATGAATTTAATTGAATAAATCTTGCCACTCTTCCAAATAGACCATATAGGTGGAGTGAACATGTCCCATCAAGAGATTCTGCCACTTGTGCTTTGTTTGCTGAGGGTCACAAGCCAAAAAGGTTGAGAAACATTGACTTAATGTGTAACAAAGTAACAAGAAACACGTGACAAAGATGTCACACATTGTAGATTCTCATCTTCCAACCAAGACCAACACTTGTCAAACAAGTCTGTTTAGTGTATAATTAGCACTGTTACACTTTAATAACAATAAAGAAATCACAATTTAAGACAGGTGTAGCATCTGAACAATAGATTTAAACCAAACAGCTGCTGCAGTAAGAAGGCTTGAGCTTCTCCAGCCCAGTTTCCATCTGAACAATGAGGTTCTATTGAAAACGTCGCTTTAGGTTTACGTGGTGGGATTTAAACAACTTGTATTTTCCCAATACATTCACCACTTTACTGCCTCTTCACCTTTTCAAAACATTTTTATGCTGAATTAAACAAAATGTATTTCAGGGACTTGATATCCTGAATTCTTGCTACCTGAATGATTCGTTAACATTAATTGCAGTCTAAGCAATTTTGTCAGAATATGCATATTGCACACAGAGATGTTGAGATATACTGTGCAGCTGATGACATCATATTCATATCGAACACATTTTAAGCCATTTAGGATTCCTAAAACAAAGAGGATACTTTTTTTCCACCAGTGATACTAGATTAACATGTAGAATCTCACTTCACTCAGAAAATTGTGATTCTCCATTTAGCAAAACAAAGCCCAAACAAACGTTTAATCAGTGGTCCATGCTATACTGACATTAACAAGTTGGTCACTTTTTAAATGTATTCATAACAACCCGACAAGTAAAACTGGGCCAATATAAATACCCGATGTTTACCATTTCTATCTTATTGTCATCTGCATGTGTTGTATGTGGCGTTTTTTTGGGCATGTGATGATGAAAGTTTATGTTGGTTTTTAACTCAATAAATGATTTGAAAACTGCTTTTGAGTTTTTCTACGATTAAAATTTGTTTTATGACACGAGTCATCTAATTGATAACGCCTCAAGACAGCAAATGTTTTTCACACTGTATTCAAAAAACAAAATGGGGAAAAAATTCTGAACAGGATTAACAGCAGCAGCTCCAAATCCTTTGGAATCCAAACAAACTTCAACATGAACCACGGCTGAACCTGTACGCCTCAAAACAACAACAAACATGTTTAGTGCAACTGAGGAGCTTCATTACTTCTAAAGTCTGAAAGGTGAAACAAGAAAATACTCATGGAACAACAAAAAAACAAACTGAACTAAAGTTAAATTAGAAAATCAGTAATTTTAAGTTATGAACAGTAACAGTGCATCTTAGGTTGCCCATTACACAAACTCATTTAAGGGGCAGGTTGGTGTACAATCAACCTTTTTGAGCTTTATAGCATGTTATAATGCAATTTTCTCATCATAATTATACCTGGAGTGTTGCTTTGATTGTTTCAAGCATGTTTGAGGAATCTCCCCGGGGAACCTTTCAGGGGTGCCTAAATGCTTGCTCCCACAAAACCTCACCTATTTCCATGCAGCTCCTCTTTGGAGGTGCAGTCTGCTGCACAGAGCACCTTCCTCTACTCAGTTCCTTCAGACTAGCAGTAGCAGCAATTAGCAAATACCTGGTGCCTGCTGAGCTTATCATACAAATTACTTCTCAGTCCTAAGATTGATGTTTCAAGGCATCAAATTGCAAAGGCAAATTTATTTTAAGTCATGTTTGATGTATACAGAATTTGTATAACAACTGAAGGTAACACCGTTTTTAAATGTGCTATGAAATGGCTTTATGTGCCTGTGAAATACATAATACCACCGATAAATAAGTATACACATGCACACACAGTATATATATGTGTGTGTGTGTGTTTATTTGATCTTATATGCTTAAATTATGAAACACAGACAAAATCACTTTAATAAATACATTTATTCTGAACTTTCTGCTGTTTTTTTAATTTCCCTTATTTAACCAATCTTTAAAAACCATCCAATATCATCAAATGATCCTGAAATAAATATTTGTTCCTTATCAGTCAGAACAGTAATCCAACAGTGTATCTGCAATATGCTTTAGTGAACAGATAAGACGTCCACCAGCTCACGACTGCAGTGCAGTTTCCACACGGCAGCCTGATTAGACACAGATCACAAGACATTTATAGTGCAATCGAAGTGCAGACTATTGTTTGACAAGTGTTGAAGCTGTATCTGTGTCGCCAAGAAACCCAAACGCTTCATTGCTCCAATTATGCACACAAACACAGAAGAACATCTCAGTATTTAACTACATCTCAACCATATAATGAGACAAAAATAAAAAAATTTAGTTAATAACAAGAACAAGCTAATCTACAAATTTTGGCTTTTAAGGCTTCAGTTAAATGTTTATATACAATGTTTTTATCCAAAACATAAAAAATAAATAGAGGTACAAGTCAAATGTATCAAAATGAAACTGCCATATTCAAGCTGACATCATCATATAGGAAACGGACGTTATCTGAGGGACCAATCTCCTCTGTAGTCACCTTCAAATTACAAGAACTGTTTGGTTAATCATTTGTAACCTACGCTTCCTACGAGGCAGTGTAGGTAGCCGTTACATTGATATCCCTCCTAACAATATTCCAATGAGCGTAAAGGTTTGGCGGCATTTTGAAACTGGCAGGAAGAGGAAATAGAGGCTGAATCCTGTCATCACATGGTCAAAGATCAATGTCATACAACACAGGCGAGTTGTAAAATGATATCCACAACAATCTGTTGGCAATAATGCATCTGTTTAAAAATGAAACTTGTGAAACAAAAGAAAATTATGAAAAAAGAGCCTAAATACAATACAGCAAGGCTTAAGCAATTAAGAAATAATGAAATTTGGTGTATTTTTAAGCAATATAGCAATTGTTAATGTTTATTATTTTGTTTATCTAAAATTAACAGGGAGATTAAACAGGGATAAAAGTGTAAAAAGAGCATGGGAAGCAACAGAAGAGTTGAGTTGAACAGGAATGTCACCCTGACAACTGGCAGAGCTAAATCTGGACAGCGACTCCACATGAAAGGAAAGTGGTCTCAAAAACCTAAATACCAAGACATTCACCCTTCTAAAGAGAAATACACTCAACCTGCAAGGGGTAAATCCTGTTTCTAGTTTAAAAAAACCCTACAGGTTCATCATGCTGATCTATGAGATCTGGCCAAAGAAAATACAACTTCTCTTAACTGAGTTACTGACCTTTAAACCACAAATGAAACTGCCAGCTCAGAAGATGTACCTTAAATAATTAATTTTTATCCTAAGTTTTGTCTAAGCTGACCAAAGTCGAGGCTCAAAGGGTAAGCTGGGTTTACAGTTTCAATTTCAATTTGGGCACTTCAATGGTAAAGTACAGAGGTCTCTGAATTGTGACTAAATGACAGTTACCAAACAATGACTAACATATAGTACATAAATTTAGTACACAACATATAATCTTTAGAACACACTTTTTAAACTGAGAAAGCAAAACAATACTTCAAAGAAGCCTGCAATAAATTCAACTTAAAACAACTCTTGGGGACAACTGAATATAATGTGAAAATTACACTTTTAATGCCTGGTTTTTATATTTTTTCACCTGCATTTGCACATTTACAGTTATGGACAAACATTTATTCAAAGAACCAATCAAACAACTCATGAAGTGCCTTTTAGAATTGTATACATTGGATAAAACACAAACGTAATCATTTATTTTTTCATAAATCAAATTACTTTTGAACAACCAGCTAACCTTGAGAAACCATTACATAGAACTACAATGGTTTCAATAGTTTTATTGTGTCGACAACTGCCAAGAATGAGAAAACCAGCAGGTAAATGATTTGGTGCCAACTGCAATAAATAGCCACGGATCACAGCAGCAGCACAAGACCAGAAAAGTGCGAACACCGCACCAGCTTGTGCTGATAATGTAAAAGACTTGCAGTGCTGTCAAAGTAGTTACCTTTGCATTTGTTGTTCTGTGTAGGAGTGCTGCGGCTTCCTTCAGCGTATTCCCATCAAAACAAAAGCTCTCTACAGCTGGTGTTGCTTTACCGGCCGGCTACTTCCCTGCACCAAGTGTGTCCTGCCAGAAAGAGAGAATGCAACAGTGAGGCAGGGTGGAGGTGGGGCCGGCATGGGAACGAGACAAGAGGAGGAGGAAGAGGAGAGGCCGGGGTGGAGAAAGGCGTGCTGCTTTATCTCACCGTGGGGTGGAGACATAATGGACAAAGTGAAGCTACTTAAAACCAGAAGAAGCAGGAAGTCTGCGATGGTCAGAAACTGTGATAAAAGTCACAACTTCCCACTTCCTCATTTGCACATTTTATTTGCATCCATCCAAAAGCCGAGCTCTGCTCCCAGCTGTTATTATTCAAATCAGATATCATCCTGTTCAACCTTTATCACTGAGCCAAAGCCCAAGTTTGTTTCCCAGCACTGCTGGTCACTGATTTACAGAGTCCTATCTGTGATTAATTACACACGTTCTGAAGGAGACCAATAGTATTCTGCAGATGAATCACTCAGGCAGCTACTGCTGTTGGCAGTTTTATTTGCCCAAATATAGTAATAGACTGTATTAAAAAGGGGAGAGAAATCGACTATAACTATGTTGGACCTTGACATAACGTTGCACTAAAAACACATCTTTGAAGGGCGAAGTGGGGAATGCTTGTCAAATCTCGTTGAACATGTTAGGAACCACTACAAAACTTAAAACTTCAAATACTTAAAAAGCACACAAACTGTTCTGTTTTTCTTTGTTGTATTATTATAGGTTGTTCCAGCCTGACTGAAGTTTTAAGTCAGTTGCGAACAACAAAGAAGTACACAGAGCGTACGTTTCCATTTTTTATTTAGACACAAAAGAGCATTCGGACTGCCAGTCATGGTGCTGCAGGAGAAAACTAGGCTGTTCAGGGAACAACCAAATGTGCTGTTAAAAATGAGACAGATAAAATACACTTTTACTGCTTTAACTGCAGATGCAATGCAAAAGACTGATCAAAGTATACATTTTTCACTAATTCCATTCAAACAGTGGCACACAATAATTTGTTTCAAGTCTTATTATTGCTTACAGATGTTAAAAACCCAAAATATAGCAAGTCAGAAATATTGTTAAAAACTATAGTGATAACCTGGTGGATGAGTCAGAAAATGTCTATGTATTTTACAGAGAACCATATGTAAGCATATTCATAGAAAGTTGAGTGGAAGGAAACGGTTCAGTAGAAAAACAAAAACACATAATCGACAGCGGATTGGTCCTGTCATAAGTAATTTTGCTGGACAATAGACACAGAAGTTATGGCGATAAACGATAATATTGTTTTTCTAAGACCGTTTTTCAAGTTACATAATGTGAAGGCATAATAATAATAATGCAAGAACACATTCTAAAAGATAAACTTTAAATTCTGACTAACTTTTATCACTGGAGCTGGAATCCATTTTAAATATCCAAAATAAATAAACAAAACAAAAAAACAAATAAAGTGAATTATGAAGTGTCCATTAAAAACACTGTCCTTCAAAAAAAGGGCAAGTTGAGACCAAAACACCAGACTGAGGACTTTGTCATCCAGTTTTTGGTGGAAAGAGAGAAAAACATTAAATCATTCCAATGGAAATTATTGAGTTTGTTTAAATTTATTGTGTGATTAATTGATTTATTCCTTCTTGTGACAGGCCCAAAGCGGATGACTGTAATCTGGAAGAATCTCTACATACGGCTGTATGCAGGAGATGAGCAACAAGCATAGGTTAGACTACACCTGAACCAGAGAAACAGCTGGAAGCGGCCTTTCCATGCTAATATGATAAAAATACTGGAGACTCACTCATTATACTTCATTTGAAAATCAACAGTGTTTTATCAAGTCCAAAGTCATTGCAACCAGAAAAAAATTAGACCACATCGTTCTTCCTGCTACAGACAAGCTTGAAGGTGATGCTGATTATATTTTTGCCTGGATTTAGCACCCTGCCAACACTGCCAAAGGTATCATTTCTAGTCAAATGACCGTGGTTTCTTCTGATCTGAAGCCCACTCAGAAACGATGAAGTATTCTAAAAAGGAAGAGAAGAGACAGCAGAGCCGATGCTGCACGACGAAGGTTGCCATTAAAGCAATTTGGCCTTCCTCAGCAGAGACACATGCTGATTTATTTCGTGCCACGCTGCATCTATGCAGTAATTCAAGCCAAAAGAGTCCAAACTAAGTACTGAGTGCAGATACAGTTCTGTAAGTGAACTTACTTTTCAGCAGGCTGACATTTTTTAATTAAATACAGTTTCATTTTCAATCTTTTTAAGAATTTGAATTTTGTCTCCATTTGCTGTGAGTCCATCATGAAGACTGACAGAAATAAGTGCTGATATTTCATTACTGTGTGTTTAATGAATTTAGAAAATACAAAGAATTAGTTTCATTGTTTGGGTTGACTTGTTGGCGACTGTCTAATTTCTTGGGATGCAACACTAGATCTTATTTCAACTAGGAAAAGCACAAAGAAAAGAACTACTGGCAATGAAAAATGACTGATAGTCAAGCTTTAAGTTGTTTTGACAGTTTTACCAATTATCTTCCTATATTGTTTGCAAGCAATCAATAGTAACAAACTACAAGCTCAACATCAGAACAGCCCAAAATGAAAGCAGCGGTTTCAAGCCGACAGAGTGCATTTAAATGACGTCATCATGTAGAAAGTAGTGTCAGCCTCCTCTCTGACCTGTCTAAAAATATAATGTGTTTGATTAATCATTAGCTGCTTATAATTACTCCAAACTTTACACAAGGAATATTTTGTCATATTAGGTAAAGTCACTCTACATAAAATTCGCTATCACGTTACAGTACAACTGTCTAAACTGATAACTATTGACGCGATGAGCTGCTGGAGGATTTTAATAACATAAACAAAGAACTTAAAGAGACTGAAAGTTATTAGCTGTTGTTCGTGAACACTGCCCTGCTTAACCTTGAGCGTTACTTCATAAACCACGCCTGGACATGGGTGTTTCATTCCTTTCTGCCTCTGGATAATACCTCCATTTGACAGCTCATTCAACACTGTTGAATACACAGGGAATTAAAAAGCGGATAACACACAAAGGCGCTATTCATGTTCCACCAGGTTGTGTACGGAGAATCATTTGAAATCCTTCGTGAGTCACAGCGTTTAGACCAGGCAGCAAACCTCACATGTGTTCACAATGTCTGGTTACAGTAAAAATGGTTTCTGTAAAGCCAAACTAAATAATTTCTTTAGCACAATCTTGAAGTAGAAAAGAAAACAATTACAAAGTTAACATGACTGTAAATAAAAAAACAAAATCATTCTAGATCTTTTGCAAACAGAAACATTTTAAGTACAAAATCGAAATATTTCTGGTCCTCATGTAGCGCAAACTCTTGTTCTAGAACTGTTTCAGTGTGCTTTGTTTTCTGAACAAAACCGAGGTGTTGTGAATGCTACACAACACAGAAAAAGATTGTTGTAGCAAGATAGCGGACATCCTGCACGCTTCTGCAGCCCTTGTTCATCACCGTGATTGTCGTTTCCTCGTCTTCAGATTGGCCGGTCCAAAACAGCCAATCTGTTTTGGACCGGCCAATCGGTAGAACCAGGTAGTCCACGATACTCGACTGGAGCCAGATTTAACGTTCGGGAACTTCATTCTTCAATTGGAAACACATAATCTTGGCTCAAAAATCACATTGAGGAATCGAAATGGGCTCCAGACTGAGTTGATGGAAAAGTCCTAGGTAAATAAGCAAATAAAAATTATATGGGAAAAAAAAAATCACTAATTGTTCCCAAGTCAACTTTCAAAAGGCTGAGACCTACATTGTCTCATCAGATGCATGCGATCTCTTCATACGTATACCATTTCATTACTGTAAGTTATGAACACTAAAGGCTCAGGTCCGAGATCTGGGGTTAAAGTCCCTGTCGTTTTGCTTGGTTATTCACATTCAAATTTTAATGCAAATGCCATCCAACCTCAGTGTACACCTCTGAACTGACTTACATGTGAAGAACATGATGCATATTTACAGATGGGAGGTGAGAAAGAAAAGTCAAAGTAGAGCAAAGAGCACTGGAGAGCAAAAACAGGGTAGAGCTTTAATAGACCCAGGTAAAGAAAACAAAAAACCCCAACATATGTTTATGTTTATTTTAATGACCAAAGATGACTTGTTCTATTTTGTGGATATATTAAACATTTTTAAAGCCTACAATTTGAATTGTTTATTTCTATGCTTTCCAGTACCTTGCTGAAACTCTGCATATGTACAAAATGGATTACAAAATGGCACCACATGTGGGCTGGAGAAAAGGTAATAAATTGATGAAAGGACGAACTGACCAGCATTTAACATTTGACATTTAAAATATATATACATATATATCTTAGACATGCAAACATAAAATTGCAAACGCAATAAATTGATCGTTATATCCAGATATCTGGATATAATGATAACTTTATCTTTTATGTAAATATTCTGAATACGAGTCCAACCTTCAACGTTTTTAGCTGCTTGCTAAGAAACTGATCGATAAATGAAAAGATTAGGAAACCAATAATAGCTGAGCCTCATAGGTTGATATACCTAAGACATAAAGTTATTAATTTTGTGTTTACTCTAACGTTCAAAGACAGAATGACTCGAGTCAGGCTCAGTTTCTCCACACAGACCGTCAGAAAGTCGTTTGAAAGATGACAGCATCCACTCATCATACTGTTGTTATCTCCTGCGCGAGGCGCTGTGGAGGCTCCCCTCCCCTCTTGCTAAGTTCGGACGATTCGACCACAAACTAACGTCAAAGCGACAGAACAAAAACCAGAGCGGCCGCTGAGGAGTGAGGTGCGCATAAACTAAAGAGAAAAAGTCCCAACTCACATGTTAGCTTGGTTCTCTGCGGTTCAAGGTCGTGTTCTCCTCTGAAGTTTCCCACAGTGAACTTGTTGGGGCTCAACTGTCACACACGGCTGGTCGGCTCCGCGTTCCATCTGGTCAGCCAGGAAGCGAGGTGTCATGGGTAATGTAGTCCTTCACCCAAATTAACGCTTCAAGGCTTTGAAGACGGTAAAAGACACACAATTAAAGGTTTTTCAGTAGGTAATTTTTCTGAAATGTCAAATCTAACACTTTTGTTTTTAAGTTTACAAACAAATGTGTTTGTGGTGAACTTCAGATAAAAATAAATTAAAAAATTAAAAAAAAAAACACCTCAGACTGAATCTCTTCAAATAGCTTTACCCTGGATGTGCCTTTAAAAACATCTGGAGTGGATGCTAATTTTAGCTGCCTCTCTGACTTAACAACCGCCATGCTAATAAAGGTTCCCACTTGTGACTGTAGCAAATGCTGCAGAACTATTTTAACCCATTTGAAAGCCAACACTCAGGATATGAGCACAAAACACTGGCTGCAGAATAGCCTCCTCTACATTAGGCTCTTGTCTCCCTCTAGTGGCAAACCACCGACGGAAACAAAAAAAACAGAGCTATGATCCTGTTGTTTATCACTGCATGCGGTTGGCTGTTTCATTAGTTTCATATTCACACTACCAACAATATTAGAAAATTAATAGTTTCATAGAGAGTAGTAAATAATAAAAAGCATGAGAAACATCTCCCAGCACAGTTATATTAGCCCGCCCTGGTAAAAATGGTATAAGTTGTAAAACATTAAGTTAAATCGAATCTTAATTTCAGCACATTTATTCAGAGGTGGAAAAGTACTACATTAATGAACAATTGTTTGGTTTTTTTAACATGTCATCCATGGAAGCTAGTTGTATTTTGATCTCAATAAGGTCACAAACATGACAGAAATTTGTCTTCAACACCAGTCCTTCTGGGAGAATAAAAAGCTGAAAGCAGTTAAACTCTGGCAAACAACGCTGGACAAGAGTCACACACAAAAATGGGAAAACAAAATAATATATATCCAAAGCTAAAAGCACTGTGGCAATATTTATCATGTAAAATTCAGCAACTCAACATTTTATTTTTCATTTTAAAGCTTTACAAATATCTTTACCAGATGCCTTGAAGAGTTTTGATGAGAGTGTCAGTACATAACAAGCACTCTGAACTCATCCTTAGCTACTTTTCACATTTTGTGCTTAAACATAACTGTTGAATCACGAATGAACAACTTTGCTACTGTGCCGCACATACAGCTCAACGTTGATATTCTTGTTTCTTATTCTCAGAGTCCTCCTCTACTCAAACAGGTGTCTGGCTGCAGCTCTACTGTTCATTCTTCTCGAAATATTCCAGTGTAGACATCCACCGTCAGGCTGTGTGTGTCTTCTCTTTGTCAGGGATGATTAATAATTTACCGCAGTCTCCCTCCAATGAGCGGCCGGTCTGCTGCAGGCCACTTCCTCTCCCAGGGACAATGGACCCATTTCCTGTGGGGCACGAAACCAAGAACCAGAGAGACCAGCAGAAACAGACGAGTATTGTAAAGCAAAGGCCTCGTATCACAGTATCTAGTTAAAGAGTAAAAAGGCTGACTGAGATTCATGATCATTTTACCAGGCAGGAATGGAGACAAGACAAACAGCTGGACAACAGAAGCCACACTTAGCAACATTCATGTGTTTATGTAGCAAGCATCAAGGTGAGCCTTGCCAAAGTAACTCTTTTTACATTTTTGTCATTTTTGTGTCTCTCCAGCAACCTTCGCCACCCAAAGAGCCATTTTACCTTCAGTCTCTTTTAAAAATCTAATTTAACCTATGTAAGAATTGACCTTTAAAGATTTGAACAAAAATACATAGAAAGCCTTTCTTAGGTTCTGAAGAGCTTGAAAGAGTCACATGCGGCTCTGGAGCTGCAGGTACAAACCCCTATTGTGTGAATGCAACAAAACTACATTTGTGATTATAAAATGGAAGCAAAATGATTGTTCCATTCATTGTCCATACCTGCCTATTCCTTGTCAGAGTCCAGCTGCCATTGGTTGAGAAACGGGTACAACTTGGACAGGTCATGAGTTCAGTGCAGAATATGACTTTTTTAAAAATTAAAATCCGAAGAGTAAACAAACTGAAGCTACAAAGACATTTTCTAGTCATACTGACAACTCAAAGAGCTTTGTGCCAAATTCACATTCAATTCTACTTTCCCCTGATACACACATATTTATTACCGATACACAGATTCCCAGAAATGTTGGAAGTGCCTTGCCGAGGGACACATTAACATGCGACAGGAAGAACCTGGAACTGAACCCACAACTTTCAGACAGTAAGACAACTACACACTGAGCCATGCAGGGAATGCCCTCTGAACCTGGACTCTCCGTTTAGGTGGGTGTCCAGATATTTATGGTCTAGTCTTTGTACAACACTCTCTCCATTTTCTGATGACTGATTGGTTTGGACAGCACTCTGTGTGATGTTCTAAGCTTGAGATTTTAAACTTAGTATCCAAAGCCGAACCTATCTGCTGTATACCTTTGTTTCTCTTTGAGGCCTTCACACAACAGCTCGACTTATACTGAGATCACTTTAAACACTTTGGATGTCACTAATTAAGCGACATCCGAAGGTGTTGCACTGATTTTTATTGGGAGTATCAACTTACGAGGAACAATACATATTCATACGTTTTGAAAATCGAAAGAAATCGCAATAAACAACATCAAAGTTTGTGACTGTGATGTGGTAAATTGTGGAAAAGTTTGAACGGTGTTAATACTTTTGCATTCAAACAGCCTCTTTATTGTCTAATAAACGTCAAAAATATCCAGATGCTTCAGCTGTAAACCCTAAATAGAGCTTGTAACAAGAGTAATCATGAGTTACAGGCCCATTCTTTTAATTCCTGGCAGAAAGAAGCAACTGTGTTCAAACAATGGCTCCATTCAGGCCCGCACTGACCCTGTGTCCACCACTCAGGGATATCTGATGAAGCAAAAGTCAAAGCCAGCAAATTTTAGATTCAAATGGTCCGCTTTGGCAACATGAAGCCACTGTTCCGTTCAGCGAACAACCTAATAATCCTTGGGCCTCCCCTTCTGCCCTTCCTCGGCCCCTCAAAGCGTCACGATAAAACCCAAGTGTCAATTAGACCTGGAGCTATTTTTAAAAGTCCACACATTCGCTCTGACAAATACAATGGCCTAAATAACCAGCGGTGACCTGGCCTGGCCCGTCCCTGCTCTGCCTCTGTCCCTTTCACTTGGCAAGCCACAGATGATGACTGTCACAATGGCTGCACAGGAGAGAGCCGGGATGATACCGCCCGAGGCGGGACACAGAGAACAGCCTGACCTATCTGCGTCTATCATCCAGCAGGAGTGTATCATACAGGCAGTTAGAGAGGCTCCTCTGCACACTGATGCATTTTACCTCCTCGGAGTTCAATATAAATCTCCTCTCTGTGTGGTTATTGCTTTTTTTATTTTTTTAAAATATGTATGACGAGAAAGTCTTCATCTGAATAATGCATTTTTATGCATGCATTCCTGGCCAATAAAAGGCTGCTACTCTGCAAGTCAGTGGGTAATTAGGGCATTAATCTTTTCCTGACCTTTGCTGTTTGATGTCGAGCATACGGACACATGCAACAGAGTGCAAAAACAGCAGGCCTGACTTTTGCTGAAACACATATGACAGGGTGTAACACGGGCTCTTTAACCTTTGCCGCAGAGGCTGCTGGAGAGAAATCAGGACTGAAATAAACAGTTCTTCCTCTTTTTCACGCATCCCCGCGCCTTTAGTTACAAAAATGCAGCTGATCAGCGCACTAAAGCCAGTGGAGAAGTGGAAGAGACAAAGAAGTCCTCCATGAAAAGTGAAAGAGCAAACCCAGCAGCAGCTAAATTTAGGGTTTAATCCCACTAATGTGCTTCTACATAATGCATTGCTATATTATTAATGCTGAAGCATCAGTGGGTTGTCACAGTCTGCCGGTGTTGCGGCTGCTGCTTTAAAACACGCTGACAGGAACGCCACAGAAAAAAGCAAAGCTCTGATTCATCATCTGTTCTTAAGTTATCTACGACTAAAAGATTCAAGCACTTTAAATTAAATCGGCTAATAATGATGTGTCAGATACAATAACACACAACATTTGTAAGCTACAGAGAGTCAAAAAAATTAGTCATAAGGGAAGGGAAAATACTTTGCATATAGTGGAGAAAACCCTCCAAATAAATGAGCAGCTAACAGTAACATGACATCAGAAATATGTTGCTTTGGTGCTTGGATTACTTAATATTTTGATCTGATATTTTAATAATAATAGTAACAATGATGATATTTTTTATTATCATTATAGAAACCATGCAATAAAAATTACTCTACATATTTAATTCCAAGTTAAGAACTAATTTTCTCAGTATGTGTTTTGTTTTAAATGTTTCAGATCTTAAAATAAATCTGATTATCCAAATAAATTTGAGGATCATTTACTCAAGTTGGCTTGACTAAACACAAAAGGTTCTTACTCATGATGAGATCATTCATTGAAAGAACCAAACTATCCAAGCCAACCAGGTCTTACTGCATGTGAAAAAAGTAACTAAGCTCATAACTGATTGAGTCACCCTTGGCAGCAATAGTTGCCATTAAGCTTTTTTGAATACTGGCTATGAGTCTTTTGCAGTCGAGGATTGCTGGTTGTTTTTTCTTTGCATCGTTTTCATTATTCAGTCACGTTGGTGGATTTTTGAGAGTGAACCGCCTTGCTTAGGTCATGCAACGACTCTTTTTATTTGGGTTCAAGTTCAGACTCTGATCAGGCCAATCAGAACGTTTGTTTCGTTACTTTTGAGTCGTTCAGATGTGGACTTGCTGTCGTGATTTTAAGCGACACTCCATTGCACTTTAGCTAAAAGTCACAGGCGGGTGGCATTCTCCTTCAGGATTTTTAGCTACAGAGAAAAATGTATTGATTCATCAGTTTTTGGCAAACTGTCCACGTCCTGAAGCAGCTAATCAGTCCTAGATCCACCATGTTACACCATCGATAATACGCTGTTCTTTTTCTGAAATGCCATTTTAGCTAAAAAGTTACAAACAGATCGCTCTTTCTTTAACCTGCTGCTAACGTTTTTTCTGAAATCTTGGGGAACATCAAGATAATTTGTAGAAAACAAAAAAGGATTTTTCTTGTCAGTAGTAGTTTTAGTCTCAAAACTCTTGCAATAACTTTGTTATTATTGAATTATGACATTTGACCTTAACTGAGCCAGGTAAGGCCTGAAGAGCTTTAGATGTCACTCCGAGTAATTTTGGGAGGCCAGGGACTCCTGGGAACGCTCATCTCCGTTTCATGGTATCTTAATCTGTGGTTTGCTTTATTTTTTACAGAAGTCTGGAACTTTGTTTCAATATATTCTTGATTTTCTTAAGATCATGGCATGGAGGGTGGCTTTTAAGACGTCTTAGCTTACATCGAACAGCTTCTATTCAAGATCTTGATTCCCCAGGTAATCAGAACTGGGTGTGGCTCTGAACTTGAACTCTGCTCTCCAAACTAAACAAAACGTTAATCACAGTCAATTTCTGCTTGAACAGGAACAACATTCCCACACTTAACATCCACGTATTCCTGGATAGTATTTTTTTTATTGTAAATGTCATAATTTATGTATTTATTTTTACTTTGTCAGGGTATCTCTGCCTGACATTAGCATTTGCTCAATGATCTTAAACACATGATCTTATATATCTACAGTCAAAACAATAACTGAAAAGGTCAAAACTGTAAAAAAAAAAAAAAAAAAAGGGGGCAGCTTTGAAGGCGATAAAGATTGTACATGAGGTAATATGTAAATCAATATTTCTGTGAGATTATGCCAGTGAAATTAAACCTTATTTTAAGGTTTTGTACATAAGCAGGTGTTTCTACATTAATTAGAATCACCAGCCATTTCTTCTTTTAGGATAATGATTTAACAGGGACAAATATCGGTGGATTTGTGGACCTTTGGAGGTCATTTACTTTTTCTGTTTTTTGGGGGTTGGGGGTTTTACGAGCACCAACACAGAAAGCATTAAAAACATGAGAATATGTAATTATTTACATTGGGATTTCTAAACTATTTTTCATATTTCGCAAAGAACTATATAGCCTATATATATATGTGCCGGTTCTTCCCCATGTGAAGAACCGGCACAAAAGAGAAGCGAACATAATGGAGGTTTGTGAGAACTGCAGCGCTTCGCTTCTTCCCGGTGGCACCTGTGACGCATTCGGCTGTCTGGTTTCGCTGCTATCAAGGTGTGTCCGAGCGTCATGCAGGTGGGAGAAAAACAACCCCAACAGAGAAGAGAAACACGGTGCGGACGACCTCTGAACGTAAGGAACAAACTCGTCTGGTACGTTTTCCTCGTGTTGTCGGTAAATAACGCCACTGAAGCACCCAATGACGTAAATTAAAGCCATTTTGAACTTTTGTGGAGGGTTTTGTATGGAAAGCAATGCGCAGGCTAACAGTGAAACAAACAAACTTCTGCCTGCTACTGAAAATACAAGTTCGTTTTTATCAATAAAATAGCCACGCAGCGCGAGGGGTTGGTGGGGACGCGGGGGGAGCAGAGCCCTGCCGGGTGGGGTCGCGCCACGGAGGGGGCGGAGCCTGACCGAGGTGACGCTCCTTTCACTACGTGTTTTTTGTTCAGACCGCTGTCGACGAGCGACGTTTACAGGGGGAGAGAAGTCTGTGGAGAAACGAACAAGCGTCCCCCAGAACAGAGCCCAGGCCCGGGAGTATCTGAAAACCCGCTGTGTGATTCCTAAAGGTAAGACTCACTCACACTGGCTTCACTGACGGCTCCCAATGTGTTTTCACCCGCATCTCCGCCTTTGTTTGTGCGTGAGCTTATTTAAAACAACTTATTGTTATCATTTATGTATTTTACGCGTAGAAATGGGTTTGTGTTATTGTAGGGTCGTGTTCTCACACCTCACTCTCCTGTTGGCTACAAATCCATATTGGAGTTCATTTCCGCATACCTTGAACTCCTACTGGGTCTGGTTCTGGTTCTGCTGCGGCCGCTGGGTGTTTAGTGGCGTTTCAAGTCGATTCTACTCAACAACATATCAGCTGGTTGTCCAAAGCTACGGCATGTTTGAGTGGTTTGGTTTATGCGCTTTTACTGCATGTTCGTGGCAGGTGAGGTGAGGGTGAGTCAGTCCTATCTTTAGGGAACTGTAGGAAATATTCAAATACATCCACAGAGGCTTCAGTTTCTTTGTTTTTGTTTGTTTTAGATCGTTTATACTGAAATTATATGGTAACTACATTTTTGACAATCACCTCCTTTTTGAAGAAACTTGGAGATATTAGATATAGTGGGTGGGGGGAAATAAAGTTTACTTTACTATCTGTTTTTCCCAATGCCAAACATAAGTGTGTTTGGATGTGCAGAGCATTATTGTGTAATGTAGGCTCTCTCGCTGAAAGCTCATTGGACCAGACATTTGAAAGAAGACACCATACTGAAGCCCACCCCTTCATTTGCCTTCATTTATCTCTGCTTTTTTTCTGGACTTATTTCCTCTGAATCAGGCATATTATGCTCCTTTAAAATGGCCTTGGTCAATACTTTTTTTTCCATCTTCTCTGAGTTTTTTCTTTAAACATCTCCTCTGCCCTTCACATTTTCAAAACCTTTTTATTTGTCAAGATAACTTTAAACCTTGATGAGAAATTTAGGCTTAAGTTGTAAATGTTCCTGTACGTTTGGGTGAATCCCAGATGACGCTCATGAAGTGTGACAGACTATGATTAAATCAAATTAAGTGCCAGTGACTTCCTGTTGATGCGTATTACTCATAAGTAGACTTTTAGGGAAGTATAAAACGTTTCACTTAACCATTAATTGCCGGAGCAGCTACCAAATGTTTCTAAAACGGGTACAAATGGAAGGTTAGTCAGTAAAATGTCCCCAAGGCTCAAACAGCTGAATATGTGTCCACTAAACCATCACCAAGGCAGGAATGAGTTGATACTTGGCGAGTATGCAGCATCTCCCAGGTTGGTACAGTTCATTATAAGGTCACCATACGATCTGAGGCTTCATCAGTAAGAAACATTGGCCTCTTTTTGTGCTAGATGTAAGTAGGTGCTTGATGACCAGAGCTGGAAAATTACCAGCACATTGTAAAATGAAATCAGAGGTACTTTAGCCTGATGGTCTCCTGATTTCTGTGGGTTTTCTTCTTTCTTTCTTTTTTCTTTTTCTATTTTAAAGACAAGGCATTTTGGCTGTCAGTTGGAGTAACAAACAATTAGGTCTGCGTGGTATCAAGAAAATGCAAGTTATTACACAATTGGACCAGTAACGTTACAGATTTATTAGTCCACATTCCTGATACTTTTCATATCCATGTCCTCCGCCACTATCAAAGTGCTCCAGCATCTAAAGATACGCATCCAGTGTCAGCATTAAGGGCATTAACTTCCTCCCACATGGTCTGAAGCATTACTTGTATTACAGCATGAAGGCCCAGCATTGAGAGTATAATTCAAAATACCACATCCAGACAGGCCTTGGCCGTACACATTGATCCTGTGATGACTACTGTTTTGAGCAACTCTAATGTCAAGCCGAGGTGCCCTACACCTTCGATGACTGTTTAAGGAGGGTTTAAAACTTGTGCCGGCACATCTTGAATTTGCAACCGTGTTTGTCGTGTTGACATTTGGACCATTAACTGTAATTGTATCATTTATTATTCTTGAGTGTGACTCATAACCAGTCATTACAATGCATCTGGATCAGAGTCAACATGTATGTGATATCCTGCTGGGTTTGAATGAATGCTTTCCTGCTGGAGCAGCTGAAGGTACCAAGGATTGAACAGGACTTGCTTCTCTTGGTTGATGCCAATCTGGCTCATAGTTCTGCACCAGACAGGGGCAAGTTTGGAAAGCTGTTCCTGTCTGCCCTCGGGGGAGAGGGTGGAATGGTGGTCGGATGTCCCCAGGGGGTGACTTACAATAGATTTTGCTGTTACATCTGTGGATACATAGTGCTAATCCCTTCCCCCTCCATCTAATACCCTCGTACTGTCCCACATTAGCGGACGTTACACTTTTTAAAGGGGATTAGTGAAAGTCTTACATCGTGACCTCTTGGTTTATGTTTTTGTCTCTCCTGGAACGGGACCTGCTTCTGTCTGGATCCAGTGATGCTCGACGGTGAACTTTCCACAGGCTCAGTTACAGCTTTTCACCACACTCATTGTCTTTGAATGCATCGTGTTAAGCATTCTAGCGTGTCCATAGAGAGGGAACAACAAATGGTTTTCCATCGAGGTTAGTGCGGTAAAAGTCTAATATAATGTCTATAGATTTGTCTTTCACCAATATTTATTTAGCAATGGGGCTTTCAGTCTAAATATTTACACCTATCATGGTTTTCTTTGCTGTTCTTTATTGTTGAAGGAGGGCCAGCAAGCTAACAAAATGTTCTTTTTATTTTATAAAATGACAATAGAATAGACTGTAAGCTATCTAAAGCTTCTGTTATCATCATCAATAACCTTAGCTGTTTTCCATAAAAATATTCCATTCATTGGACAGACTTCTGCTGTTTCTAACACTCTTTCTCTTCCTACAGTTGTATAGTGTTTACCAAGTACAGTTGGAAATACCCAACAAAAGTCATTAAGGCAATTATTCACCATCAGGAGATCAAATGTCTTATATGCATGGCATTTTTAAAAACCACCCTGACTACTACCAAGTTCAGGTCAGGTTTTTGCAAAGATGCCTGAGTTAACTATGCATGAGTCCCGCAGCTTCCCGATGGTATCGGTTCTGCTGCTGTTCCTCTGAAAACAGTACTGCTGATAGTTTTTTCATTGCTCTGGTGAGGAGGAAGGGATCTACATTCCAAGTCTAATTGAAGAGAAACTTTTTCACTCTTGGATGATCTGGCAGCGACAGGTTGTGGCTGTTTTTGTGCGCCTCCTCTCTGTCTCTTAATTACACTTCTATGAGATATTGAGGAAAGTGAAGACGGCTAGGGTGCGGCTGAAACAGAAAGAAATCAACTGGGAAGATTTACTTGGTAGATAGGCGCCACGAAAAAGACTGCGTTGCTTTCACATTTGTTTTGTTACCTTTTTTGGGGGGGGGGGAATGTAAAGCATTAGGTCTTTTGTTCTTTGTCCATTGCTTTTTAAGTCTCCCTGGAAGTCATGGGTTGTGAAAATTGTGCAACTTGACATTTGAGTAACCCAGAAACTGTGAGGAATGTATGACAAAAAATATGCGGGAGGCTAGGGGGGGGGGGGGCTCTGAGTCAGGGTTTAATTCCTTGTGGTAAATGATGTCATTTTAACATTTGCATAAGCTTAGTTGTAATGTAACTGTTCATCCTCGACGTAGTCTACTACAGATTTATAATAACGCACGTACAGTGATGGTAAATTACATTGATCCAAAACGACTGTACAGCTCCCTCACGTATGTTTAGTTTGCTAATGCTACATTAAATGTTTAAAACTTGGCTTTGACTTCAGAGCCTCTTCTCATAAATTAATGATATGGTACATTTATAAAAGTACCATAGAGGTTTTTCATAACATTGGTCAAAGGATGTGCATGACCTACAGCCAGTTTCCATAAGCTATAGCATGCTAACACAGATGTTTATTAGATGTTTTAGATGTAAATTTATGTTCACTTGAGAGTGCACTCTCAATTCATTGTGTGTTGGATGCTTAACGAGTACCAGTGTTTTTCACACAGGTCCAAATGGACTGTGTGACTTTGTGGCATTAGCTAAGCAAACTAATAACTTTAGCATGCCAGTGCTAGCATCCATAAAATGTTTTTCTTTTTTCCATCATGCAGATTCTCACGTCATCAGTCGGAAAAGACTGTCATGCCTGAGCTGATTTGGGTTAACATTAACTCTATTAATAACAGCTTTAAAATTAAAAATAAATATTTAAGACTAACTGTTGCTCTTTACTGACCCTGAAGAGGATTTTCATGATTGATCTTTTTTCCACAGTTGCTGGCAGCAAAGCCATTAAAAACATGCTGCAAGTCTCAAACTGTTGCTGAATGACTATTTGTTGGATATTTCTGAATAATATAGGAAGTAATTTCTAAATGTCATAGGAACCGAGGCTCATGATTTGTTTGAGTAAATACTTTAATTTTAATTAAGGTGTTAAAATACTTTAATGATGCCTTTTAGATCATTAAAGTATTTTAAGCAGTCCTTGTTACTTGATTACATGTTATTTTATGTTCACTAAATAGAGAAATATTTGTTTTTATCACTTTTTTTCAGTCGTTGAACGTGTATTTGACAAATGTTCTGTGTTCTTTCTGATCTCTTCATTCCCTTGCCCCGGTGTCCTGAGCAGCACATTCCTCCTCCTTCCTGAAAAATTAATTATCTTTTACATTTCCTCAGAGTTCAGGCAGACTCTAACTCATAGCAATGACAGTTCAAACGTCCCTCACAGGCCTTCAGTCTGGGCTTCGGCTTCAGATTTGTGCACCAAGCTTGGCTTGTGAACACAGAGAGCCATCATGATGTGCTTCAGTCCTCTTTTTGTTTGCACCCAGTGGGGAACTCTTGAGTAGTTAGTTTCCTTTTCAATACAGCAGAAGTCAGCAGGACAATGTGGCTACTCTCTTCCTCTCAGTCTCAAACAAAGTAAAACAGGACACTCTCTGTGTTGTCAGTTCATCCTCTTCCTTCCTAACATCAGCCAAGCACCATGGATGGGGAGGATGTCCCTTCTTTTGAACTCAAAAGAAAAACTTGAA